CTGAATCCACAGAATCCAACTATGTTCCGTTTTAGTTACCTGTTGAATCCAACAGATTTCAACAGGAATATAGACAAGGTCTTTACTGCTCAATCAAACGAAAATCTAAACTAGTAGGATCCTGTTAGATTGTGCAGGTTAGAGATAACTTATTATGTTAATCAACAATGCAATGCATGTATGCTTTCATTTTATTTCATTGTGTTGGATTATATTTGTAATGTATTGTGTGTGTTATCATTTGTAGAGTATGCAGGGCCCCATGGAAACCAGTTTTAAACTGTTTGAACACACCCTGGGAAAAGAAATATAATAAATAATATAAATAAATAAATGCACGAACAGTTTATTAGAAGAAAATTATTGCCCCAAAATTTAATGAAAATGGAAAGAAAGAAAAAAGTGTTTGACAGTTTGTTTTATTTTTAATAATTGTAACTTTGTAGATATTTGACTGACTTTGAGCATCAGCGGTGCCTTGGAAAGGTGGCTTTGGCATTGTGTTTGAAGCCAAGAACGTGGTGGATGAGAACAGCTATGCCATCAAAAGATCTGCCTTCCAAACAGGTACAAGCAGGGAATTTAATCAATCCAGAAAGAGCAAATTTTGCATCAAAGATTCAATGAATTATTTTTGTTATTTAATAAAAATGTCATGTGTTGTCTTGAGTGATTGAGAAAAAGAAATCACTGGGTGGGACTTGAACCCACGACCTCCTGCTTACAAGTGCAGACGTCTTACCACTCGACCACCGAGCTTGCTGGGGTCTGCTGGCTGGTTCGAATCACATATAGCAGCGGGTACCGCAACCAAAATGGAACTGCATCTGTGAAGGGTAAAACCAATATTTCATTTACATCATCCCAATGCAAATTCCATCTTATGAATACATTTTTAGTATTGTTTTTTATCCATGATTTGTCTTTCTGTCGTAGAACGAAGGCACGTGACAAAGTCCTCCGTGAGGCAAGGGCTTGGCCAGGCTAGATCACAGCAGTATCGTCCGCTACTTCAATTCCTGCTGGAGGAACCTCCGGCCGATGGCAGAAGATTCAAGATGATCAGCTCCTAGGTGACAGGTAAAGTCTTGTTCCCTGGGTTCTTTTGTTCTCGCTTCCTTTGGCTACTTAATGAACACTTTGAGTATAATTACCCGGAACTCCTGGGCATTTTTGCTAGGATGCAGCCTCAATCCTGCAAATCCTCCAACTGCCTCCCTGTAAAAATTGCATACAGGCTCAATCCTGCGAAATCCTCCGTTATTTCTTGAATGTGGTCCTTGGAGGGGTGACCACTGCCTCAATCCTGCAGAATACTCTAGCAATCACTGTCGATATGTTGAGGCAGAGTCAGTGACACCTCAGAGCAATATAATCTAGGCCTAAATTATGCAAGGCTGAGCATAAACAACAAAGGTTCGGCCCAAGACCTTCACACAGTACATACTGCAAAATCAGCCACACATGTTTACCATATAGCCTCAATCCTGCAAAATCTTTCATTTTGCAAAGAGGATTTTCAAGGATTCGGGAAGGTTAGCGTTAATTTGAAATTTGGACGAACATTATAAGGATTTATTAGGGCTCAAAAATCTTGACCATTTTTTAATTGTACCTACAGAAATGTTCTTGGTGAATGTGATCATTCTTTATTTTCACTCCTGAATGACATCGCATCGATCTACAAATTAAATGAGTGTTTTTTTGTAAATGTTGCAGCGTCAATCCCAGCCACACCACTCTTCTGTCGCAATCCACGACGGCCAACTTCAACAAGGACAGTCTGTTAGTCCGAGACAAGGAGCAGTTCCTGAGCCAGACCAGCCCCACCTCAAGCTCCCCCGAACCGGCCAAGTCGGAGACCCAGAGAGTGACGTTTTCACCGACAAAGATTCCGAAGACTTCTCAGTGGGCAAGGCTGACTATCTCTCAAACCTTCGCGACGAAAGCGGCTCGTTCAGTATTGAGTTCTGCGATGAAGGCGATGACAATGACGACACTGAATCCATCCTGACACCAAGAGTTGAAGAATCGGCTACGTTTGATCTTAAGCCGAACAGCGATTCTGAACTCCTGACTCCAGTCAACGCTCCGCCCCACGTTTCTTTCGGAAGATTTGCCCACAAGCCCCCGAGCCGCCAGGCGCCATTCAAGAGGATTCTTTCCAAGTGATATTTGAGAACAGCTCATCGGGACACGGCACCGCGGCAGAAATCGGCAACCGTGACTCAATCGGCTGTGAGGATTCACCAAACTCCCCATCAGATCACAACCAAAACGGATTCTTTCCAAGTGGTTTTCCAAAGCGGCAACCCCGAACGCAGCACTCCAGAAACTGGCGATATGGACTTGGCCGGCCTCAATGACTGCCCACTTCAACACCAGAGCTCCAAGTCAGATCTCGGCCACGAACCTCCAAGAAAAGACGCCTCAGGCAAACCTCCCAAGGAGGGCTCTGCAGGAGGTGCAGGCGACGCCCAGGGCTGCCACTCGGTGCCCAGGGTCTATCTGTACATCCAGATGCAGCTGTGCCAGAAGGAGACACTCAAGGACTGGCTGGGGGCCAACACGCTGAGCAGGGATCGGGTCAAGCAGCTTCACATCTTCCAACAGATCCTGGCCGCCGTGCAGTACGTGCACTCCTGCGGCATGATCCACAGGGACCTCAAGGTAACAAAACATTTGGTTACACTTGTTACCTCTGTAAGATGAACTTCTTAACATTGAGGCCTGAACATTTACCCCTTCACCTGACTTTGATAAAAGTTGATTCTAGAATTGTTTTGGGAGTGACATACACGTGTGAATCATGATCAGGAATAGATTACACATCTACACTACAGCTGCATTTGTCTTTTGTGCACACTTTTGTCCATAAGAATGTGTGTTTCTCTAATTTTCTGAAACTGTTCAGAAATTCAGGTTTTTTTAACAGTTGGGTGTCTTTTCAGTTTTTTTTCACCTCCCTCTAAGTCTAGAAGTAGTCTGAGTATCACCTGTTATCCACGAGCCCAGTCTTTTGTCTAACGTCTGATTTATTTCTAAGCATGCAGAGTATGCGATCCCACGCCTCAGCCATCGGAAGTGACTTAAATACTATATTGTGACGTCATTTCATTCCCAAACTAGGACAAAATGTTTGATTGATCAATTTGAATGCAGTGTTTTTGTCATACAACAACGCCAGGCAGAGATCTATAAACCTAGACAAGCTTGTGCGTGTTACGTAACATATATACATAGCGCGTGTGTAGTTTTTTTTATTCATGTCTATTATGACGCGATAACGTGTGAATGACGTCGGACATAGAAAGCACCGCTGATTCGTCAAAAGCTAGAGGTCAAGAGGCGGTTGTCTTGCATAATTAATCGGGGAATCTGCTCACATTAGACCATGGCTCTTCGCCATGGTCTATTACATAGACTAGTCTAGAACGGGCCTAGGTGTATAGTTTTGTGTCAGTTCTTGGCAGATATAAAACAGGGCTCATCAACAAGGAGGAACCTGAGCCAAGAAGCAAAGATCTTAATGTTAAGTATATTGTTTGTTCCCAGCCTTCCAACATCTTCTTCTCGGCGGACGGGACGGTCAAAGTGGGTGATTTTGGCCTGGTGACTGCCGTGGACACCCAGCTGGAGACCGGCGAGTCATTGGACGATGACCTAAGCAGCATTGACCTCAGTAAGAAGCACACCAGCCAAGTCGGTACCCAGCTCTACATGAGTCCCGAACAGGTATGATAAACAAGAATCACTTCAAAGAATAACTGGTAACCACAACTAATAAGTGGCACCATGTGAGGTATCACCTCAGTAATATCTTCTAATAACTGTGGTCACTGGATTTCTTAGCGTTTCTTAGAGATTCTTTGAGATTTAGGAGTATGTTAATAAGGAAATTATACAGTTTCATATGTTAATAATCGTTATTCATATATACCTAAGACATTTTACCCATTCCTTTTTGTCAAGAGCCTGTCACTTTTGCAGTTTCACATGAAATTTTGGACTCCTATGAAATCTGGTGCCAGTACCGTTTTATTGGTTTAACGTTCACAATCCTCACATAGGCATGCACATTACTATCAGTGAGTTAGTATTTCATAGTCCTAAATTTACACTACAAAGGCACAGCTGTGCGTTCCAATCTCCATATAAGGAGACGTTTACGACTTCTTAAGAGAGGGCCGTACCATAGCATAGCTGGAGGAGTGTTTCAAAAGCATGAGTAAATCGTTGGAAATTTTAAATATTTGACTTGTTTTGACTTTTGGTCCGAAAAGTTTTGATTTTTTGACCGAAAAGGTATTTATGAATGGGAATCATAATTGTGTGCTTGGCAGGTATTAAACACTATGTTTAAGACCGGGTGGACTCTGGGTGCTGATAATGACAATCGCCTTCGGCTCGGCTAATTATCAGCATGCAGACTCCAACCGTTCTTAAACGTAGTGTTAAATACCTGCCAAGCACACATTTATTCCCTTAATAAATTTCAACAAGATGAGGCTTGCCTGGTCAAGCTGGACCCGCACCTGAAAGTTTGACAGCTGGTTAGCTGATCAGTCTCAGCTGGATAGCTTTAGGTAGTCAGTCTCAGTTGGACAGTCTCAGCCAGGCGGCTAAAGACAGTATAAATACTCATTCAGTCAGGGACTCGGTCACTCGGCCATTGACTCAGTCCGTCAGAGGACAGTAGGCTGGATCTTTGGGTCCAACTTTTTCATATATTGGAATGTTTTGTACACAGTATATGATTAAAAATGGTTGATCAGACAATTTATTGTCATTTTTGTTTTATTTGTCAGTTTGAGTGGAAAGACTTACGACCACAAAGTGGACATCTACTCTCTGGGTCTGATCTTCTTTGAGTTGTTGCATCCCTTCGGCACACAGATGGAGCGTATCATGGTAAATCTGCTCTGTCGATATCATTTGCCGAGATTTTTCATTCAGCTGGATATAAAGTCAAAAAGGCCCTGCCCACTGCCCACATTGGCAACAACACATGAGCCTCTCCAATGTCACACTGCATGTCGCAGCGGCACGCGCGCACACGTCCGACATTAATCACTGCTGTGATTGGTCAAAACACTACTGGGCGGGCTAACTGGATTGATCTATTGGAGTGTACCTGGACTTGAACCCGAGACCACTGGACTGTCTTTTTTGCTCTTCAAATTAAGTTAGCCATCCCCTTTTTGCCAAAACCTCAGTCAATCGCAGTATTTAGTCAGAACATACAAAGGTCACCATGATACATATACACTTGGGTTCACATCCAACCTGAGTCATATTGTCATAAATTTTATTGGCTGTTGCGGTACTTTTGTACAGCTGCCCTTTGTTAGAATCCGACCTACAATCCCGGCCAAAATGGTTGGGACACTTCCTGAGCCTAGCGACGGTCACCCACTCCCCTGCTCCCCCGGTCAATGTTGTTCTCTCCAGCTGATGGAGCACACACCGTGCAATGAGAGACAACATTGAACGGGGGCCGGGGGTTGGGGGCCCAGCGAAATTTGGCCAGGATTGTAGGTGAATTTGTTTACCCAACCACACCTGATGTTAGCCCAAGGCGATATAGAATGAAAACGCCCGAACGCTGGCCTGGGTTCACACCCAACCAATAGTGACAAAATATTAAAACTTCATTAAAAAAAAAAATTCTAAAAAAAACCCCTGCTTTTAGATTTGACTTTGATTAAACCCTAAGAAAATGTTGACATAATCTTTTTCAGGTGATGACAGGATCACGACAGCAGAAGTTCCCTGACAGATTTGCAAAGGAACTACCGTCAGAGGTAGGCTTTTAATTCTTTTTTTTTTTTTTCAACAAAGCTGTGGAGTGGTTTACCAGTGTTAAATGCACTGCTTTTGATAATTTACTTGTTTTTTTTCATGAAGGCTTACTGTACAACTAGATGGTGGGACACTACAATACACCTCTGCCGTAAAAAAAAGTCTTGTAAAAACAATTTTCAGTCACTCTCGTTATAATGTTGACACTATAATGAATTTGTAAGTCACCAAAGGTGTAGCTTTAAAGGGAATGTACAACATTTGCTTTTGCCCCAATTTTCAAAAATAAATGGATTGGAAGATTAGTATGTTATAGAAAATATCATTACACTGACTGGTTTCATGTTTTTGGCTTGTAGAGCTGAAAAACCAAGAAAGCCATTCATGTTCTTATAGTCTGGTTCCCTGACCCCAATTAAGATGAAACAGAGCAATTTATAGACTTTGGGGGGAATTGTAAGGTCAGAGAATCAGTCTAGCAGGCTTGTACCCCTTCACAGGTGCGTAATCAATTGCTAAGAAATGCAGAATAACTAAATATAACAAATTATGCGCAGTTTTTGAAAAAAGTCAGTTTTTTCCAACGCTGGTCGGCCGACCAGCGTTGGAAAAAATACACTTTTTCTTGGAAATGTCAGCACACCAGGAGCCACGAATTTACAGGATGCTTAGACTGTCATTCCCTAACAATCCAGTAAGGTATTTCGTGCTAATTTGATCATTTGTTTTTTGATGTTTGCAAATGTTGTATCTTCCCTTTAATACGCTACATGACCGTGTAAAAGTTTGTGATATGTCTTGCTTTCCTTACGAGTTTCGCAGTAATGTGGTTTCTGTATGCTTTATCGCCAACTTGCTTGCAGACTGAGCTCATACAGATGCTGCTGTCCAACAATCCCGCCAACCGACCCGACGCCGATGAGATCACGGAGAAAGACACCTTCGCGCGCCTGTACAGGAACTTTGTTCCGCCTGTTGCCAACAGCAATAGAGGGCGCTATTCTTCAAACTCCAGCAACTGATTGCTTACTTTCACCAAACAAAACTTTTCATCGAGATGTGTTAAACTAATTCTGATTGAGCGCATGCTAGTCGGAATCAACCACTGGTCAAATTTGCTGTGATGCCTTTGCGGTTATTTTTTCTTACTTTTTCACATATTCACAGATGAGTGAATATTTAAAATACAGAATAACGAAGACACATTTTAATACACAAGTTATTTTCTTTTTAATATTTTTTTTTAATTGTCTTTCCTCATTTCAAGTGTAATAAAGCTTAACAAGTATGCGTGTCATTCCTGCTGTTCAAGGTTTATTTAGATTTTGAAAATAAATGAATTCACCTTTTTTTCCCAAAACATAAACACGTACCATTTTACAATTTTACTTTGCATGCATTTTGCTACTTTGATGTTTTCCCCTCTATATTTCAAGTATAAACTCTGCTTTTGCCATTAGTCTTAGCCCAAGATACTAGTGATCGACAGTGGTGCGCCCTCTAAGGGCCCAGTAACTAGACCAGCGCGCCTGCTCACACTAAGTCGAAAACAGTTGTGCGAGGGCAGAGGGCGCGCTACAACAATAACTAAAATCACTATTGATTACCGACGTCTTGAGCCAAGTCTACTTTGCCATGAAATTCAGACTCAGTTTTTTCCCCCTGAAATCTTAAGAATGATAGTCAAACAGATAATGATGTACATAAGTCTTGTCTGTTTATTACTTTTTAAATTATTTGACAAATCCTGTTTGAAAAATGCAGTAATTGACTTTTTTTTCTGTCTTGCTTTCAGATTTTTCTGCTTGCAAACAATTATGTGCATGACTTTTGTTTTAAATAGTTAAGTTTTCTTATAAGATTAACTAACGAGGCAACGATTTAAGACACAACATTGAACTTGAGGGCCACAACTTTGAAAGACATCTAAAAAGAAAGTGTACCACGATATATTTTTGTATCTCTCTTCAGCTGACAATTCAGGTTAATGGTTGAACATTCCTGTGAAATGTACTAACTTATTAGTTGCCACAGAACTAGTGTCGAGCCAAGATAATATATATATATATATATGTCTACTACATTATATGATAAACATGTATCTGTATTGTAAAGTTGAACAAAGAAATTGACAGGAATGGGGTTTGAGTCTGCAACCTCCGGATTGCCGTTCCGGTGCTCTACCAATGGATCTATCGAACCTATGTTGGCGGTTCCCCCGTGTTACTTTTAATAGTCAACTTTAAAATAATTATAATGCCCCTACTTTGTTTCCTTACAGTGGTTTATTTGAAAATCTATAATATATCTGTTTACATAAACAAGGGTCAGTGGTTCTGTAAAGTACTCGTAATTATTGTCACAATTCTGAGATACTGATCATACTGGAAAATGTACACTCGCAGCCTAGGGTAGCGAGTTGCCTAAAAAGCTATTGATATTCTTCCAAATACCTTTGTACTATGTACAGAGTCAACTTATATATTTTATATGTTAATAACGTGAAATATTACTTTATCGCTGGCACTCTTAACAGTGCAATGTATATTTTTCCTTGTAAATAAGTGAAGTTTTAAATTAAATCTCACAGAAGAAAATACTAAACGAGTTTTCAAGTTTGTGTTTAGAACTCATCAATTTTCAACTTAAATCTCACAGAAGACAAACATTGAACAAGTTTTCAACTTTGTGTTTAGAACTTATCAACTTTCAACTTTGTGAGTTTGATAACAGCATGAACATGACTTTATGATCTTAACACGAATACAAAATACAAGCTGAAACAGTCTTAAATTAACAAAAAACTTGTTTGCTAAATGAGAAATGCAAGTTTCTTTGGTTGCACCATCATTCAGAGGATAGTTTTCCCCCCTTTCATTTGACTCATTTTTCTCCTTTGATTGTTTCTCCACACTTTTCACACAGGTCCTTGGCATTCTTGATCTTCTCGACCATGAAAGGGTTGAACTGGGTGGCCAAGTCCACTTGGAGCATGTGTGCCTGCACTGTGTAATGGAAAAATGCACAATTGAATTCATTCTGCTGTCATGACATGGGGCAGGATTTTTGGTAATGCCTCTACAGGGAGCCAATTTACAACACTTTCAATGCCACACGCTGGCAAATTTGTTACCTTGGTATGAAAAGTTTACAAGCCTACAACATGACATATTGCTTGTCAGTTTTTCAGCTATTTTGGAGCAGGGAATGTAGGGAGCTGTTTAGCCATGTAAACTTGCAAGCCATTGGCTGGTGCATATTGTACATCATGGTGAACCTGCAGACTTGTCACCTAATGTACTCTAATTCAGTTTTTTGGGTTTTTGTCTAAATTTGTTCTAAAGATTGGATAATTCCTTCCAAATTTCGTCCAAATAAGAAAATTGATAACTTTAAAAATTCAGTTATAACAAGTGAAACATTTTGGGAAAATGTCCAAGTGGTAGCCACTTACGTTAGCCCGGAAGCTTTTTTTTCAGATTTTTTTGGGGGTGGGGGGGGGGGTGGGAAAGCACTTACAGCTCATCGTGCTGAGATGCTCTTTGGTCTTCTTGAGCTGCTTGCTCAGCATCTCAAGTTCCTCTCGTTCCTTCTGGTAGTGCTGGTCCTGCTCCACGCGAAGCATATCGAAAACTGTCCAACTAAAAGTTAAAAGGGATTGTCACGGATTCATAAAGGCTGGAGAAGTTTAACTGCAACTAATTAGGCTAGTAATTTTATTAAAAAGAAAAAATATAAATCAGCCTTGGCCTAGGCCTACAGGCTACAATGTACTTGCAGTGCATTGCAAAATATGACTTCCAAGCCCAATGCCTTTTTAGCCTATATCTTCATTGATTTTGGCATTGGCTGAAGACAGCAACCATTAAGAAATTAGTGACATCCTGAATTGATTGTGAAAAATAAACTTCTCGAACTTTGTACATTTGTAAAAGTTTGTTTCAGTTCATCGAACTCTGACTGTTGACTTGACTTTAACTTGTCATGCTTGTTGAAGACCGCAAACTTTATTGTTAAATAAGGAAAATAAATTGGAAGGATATCTTACTCGTGTTTGTTGTTTTAGAGCTGTACCGCGTGGTCCTGAAGTGAAAAACGAATTTACATTTATTCATTCAACAAAATGTAACGACGACGACGTGGTCCCGGTGACTCTCTCAATTATCCTTTGCTGTTTGCAAGTTTTGGAGTTTACTTTTGCAAGGAACTATGGGAAGGCTAGTGCAAAGTACTTGTGCATGAACTGCACGTTCTAAATTAATTTGTCGACATGGTAACAGTCAACATGGCGGACTGCAGAGCTGAAAAGCGGCTAATTAACGTTACTATAGTGTTTACACGGTATGGCAAGGTTTCGGCAAGGTTACACAAGGAAGGTGATAATTGATGTTCATTATTCAAACTTGAAGAATTTAACGATTTTTTTACAGCAAGCCTCGAGAAATTAATAATTTGTTTTGTTTTGTTCTAACATTAACAAAATGCCGTTAACCAGTAATGATATTATTAGCGCTACTCGATTTTAGGCCCATAGGCTATGGGCCTAAAATCACGTAACCCCGTGTGCCTACCCCTTGCTGGAGATGCATGCAAACTACCAAATTAGGTTTAATATTTCGCAGTGGCTACTATCGTTACGGCAGCCGTAACGCATTTCCATTTTCTATCGTTACAGTAGACTGCAACCTTTATAAAAACATGAGAAGAAATATAAAATTAGAAGGAAAAAAGTGAATTTGAACGTTATGAAATTCGGACTTTATTTCCCTTTAAAAAAAAATCCTCCAAAGCCTCAGGTTAGAAAAGGAAAAAATTTGAGTGCAAAACTGAGATGCGAACCCGCAACCTCGCGGTGCAAAATCCTACCCTCTATCGACTGAGCTGTCGCACTGCTTGCTAAAACGTGGGGAAACAAATAATTATAATTTATATACCTGTGTGCGTATCAAAAAATATCGTAGAGGGCGCTAAACAACGGCTGCCGTAACGATAGCCACGTCGTTAATATTTATTTATTTGCAGTCCCACTTCAGTGTCACTGTCAGTGACACTGACATGTTCATGTGATTTTGTTTTAATTTGCATTTTTGTAAATGTAATGAAATTGAAAACAGAATCAACATGATTCAACAATGAGAAATAACTTAACAAATGTCACTGCGACTGTGCGAGTAGTACTAGACCTGTAAATGAGGCTATAGTATATGTACATAGCCACGCTCCGTTCACATCTCTGGACTTTGAAATGTCTACAAGTTCATTTTGGGCTCTATTTTTACCTCAAATTTCTTTGGAATGACAGATCCTATGCCACTGGAAAGTGGAAGTTCTTGGTGGATAAACTCTTATCCCCCTTATGTAAGTACTGAACATAATTTCAGGAACTGTAAGTGGAAGGTCTCCAAGTCCAACCGGGATTTTGAACAAGTCAAAAGTCCAGAGATTATGATTATATGAACGGAGCGTGGCTATGTACCTATATAGCCACGTTTACAGACTTATCTTGCTTCAAACATGTTGTGCTTGAACAGTCTGCAACTTAGTTCAAAAAAGTTTCTTCATTATGGAGTGCAATATTATATCGTGAACATTTTATTCTGTAACATAATTTTGTGCCTTTCCCTTTCAGATCTGTTTAAATTAGGGCCAAATCTTTGAAGTTTTCATATCATAACAACCATGGCCATGGACCGGATGCCTCAACACCCTGAGCTTTTCCCTTGTGGGACAGAATCAAAGTTCCCCAAGTTGGTGCCGATGCGAGTAACTTCAAGGGGAAGTTCAGCTTGGCAGACTTGAGGCCCACCCCCTACTTCAGTCAGCGTCAGAATATGCTGAGAAGGGACTACCTCCAGAAAATCAGCTCAGATCTCCTGTTCAGCGAGGACGTCGTGAAAACCCATGCGGCGCACACCTTACCCTACGACAGAGGTTCTATCCGAGAGGCGTATGACTACTCCGACATTGTCCAGAGAGAGAAGAAACGGTTCGTTGGACCCGTGGGCAGGTACAACCCGAGGAC